TGAGTTTACGGTAGTCGACAAATTAAATAAAAAAACTGATTTTTTTATAAATTCGGAATTAGTCTGACTTTCGATACCATTTATTTTGTTAGGAAAAAAATAACGGACAGAAGATTGGTCTAATATGTATTTTTGCATGTGCATGCGATCCCTACATTTTCTTGATATGTGGGTTTTCAACACGTGGCCTTCTACTAGAGGATGGTATTTTATAGCAAATCTAACTATTTCATGTCTAGACAACCAAAAACCTCTAAATTATATGTAATGTTTTTTTTTTTATAACATTTTTCTAATTATATGTAATGTTTACTTTCATCCGTTTTAGTTTTCGATTTGCTATAAAATTTGATGATAAAATAATTATTTTTCATGCGAGTATATTAGATATTTTGTTGAATATTCAGACTATAGTAGATATTCGGGTGTTGTATATCACATTAATTACAAAACAAAACAAAAAACAATAATTTTATTTGTTACTTAGTTTGGACTAAAATATATATATCGCCATGTCAATGATTTCTACACACACACAAAATGGTGTATTTTTATCAGCATGGCTAATAATGTTGTATTAATCACTTCTATAATTTAATGGGTTTTCTTTTAATTGCCTACCAATTTGTGAGATGTTGCCTCCATTGGTCAACTCTTCACGACATTCACATCACATGTATACAGCAAGTGGAATTGAGCAGTAAAATTCCATTAATCGTATTTGGTCAACATTTTTATATGATTAATCGTATTTGGTCCTCAAGGGCGTTCACATTAAATTCTATTTCCTATAATTTTGAAGTCAGCATCCGTGAAAATAGTTATGACCAATTACGTTTAATCCTAATTAAGAAGAAAATATTGATACCAATCTTTTTATTTTAATTTAATTTAGGACCACCTTCTCTAAACATTTTCCTGAAATTCCGTGAAATGATGGAGCAATTTTCGGAAAATATGCTTGTTCAGTTGTCGATTAATCACTATTAAATTTAAAAGTGTACAATTAATTTAAAGTAAGGTTTTGTTTTCCGAACCTTCCAATCATGTGGTTCATGTATAACTCACATGAACGTATAATTTGTCCAACGGAAAGAGCGGATTAGTGACTATATATTTTTCTTTTGCAAAACGACTATATTTTTTTGCATGCTTTATTACATTTTTCTTAATTTTATACGTATTATAATCAAATTTCATATCATGGATTTTAGTTAATCATTGGATACCAAAAAGAATATATGTATGTAAATAACAATATAATGGATACTTTTTATTAAAATACTGAGAGAGCACATGTATTTTTACATTATAAAATTTTAACGTAAAGATATGCGTAACGAAACCACCCATTGTTTTGTTGTTAAGGGGATGATTATTGTTTCTTAGATACATTATAAAACTTCAAAGATACCTAACCTTTTTAGAAATATATTTGCTTAAACCATATCCAACAAATATTGATATTCAAATTTGATAAACACATATCCGGTCTGAAGCATAGGCAATTGAAACCATCTTTCGAATCTCAATTGGAAACTTGTCAATGGAAACCAAATAATATTGGACTAGTGGTTCTCATTTGGAAAAAAGTTGCCGGATCTAGGCCATAATTTAATTTTCTCCAAACGCAAAATTATCTAACCACTCTCATTGATCAGTCACAATAGTGTCACGTTTTACATCCATTAGAAAACTTGGTAAACGGACTACTCGACGGCTACACTCACCCTAAAAGGATTAATCGGGTGGTAAAAGTC